GACCAGCCAGGAACACGTCTCTAACCATCCACCTCCCTGTCGTGCTGTTTGAGAGAAGCCTCCACCTTCTTCTAGTTCTCCCAAACTATATGTTTTCATTTGCTTAAAAAAAAAAAGTCTTTATTACCTTGATAGGAAAAAAAAAAAAAAAAAAACTTTAAGACTCTTCTTGCTCTTATTTGCATTTATATGATTATAAGTAGATCGAAATAAATTCTTTCCTTCCTTCCCTCCCTCCCTTCTTCCTTCTTTCCTGATAATGTCTCTTGTGGCTGAGGCTGGCCGCAAACTCATTATGCAGCCAAGGATAACTTTGAACTCATAATCCTGCTGCTACTCCCTCCCAGGAGCTAGGATTTCGTGTGAATGTGGCTACGCCGGTCCCACCCACAAATTACTTGTGATCATATTTGCTGCCTTCTTCCTTGTTCTTTGCCTTTCTCTCTTAATACGTATTGAATGTTTACTTCTTACTCCACAATGAAACAAAAGGGCTCTTGGCAACAGGAAGCAAAAATTCTCAACAAATGGATGGATCTTCTTGTGTGTGAGATAGTATGTTTTCCACAGCTAAGGATGGTACTAGTGTTCTTTTTGATGCTTGACATTTTGATGTGCTGATCTTCACTTTTTGCACAGTCCCATCTTCTTTTTGTTTTGACTCAGTGGTCTCTTTCTAGGGTCTAGATGAGCAAGTGCTAAGACGATAATTACGTTTTACTTGCATAATCTTTTAAAATACCTACATGCTAATGAACAATAGTTAACTTGAAAATATTTCCAGTTGACAATGTCCAGCTAGAAATTTGAGACTTTCTTCTGATACTTTTCTAACCAGATGGCCAAGCACCTTGCCTAAACCTTCTGTCTTTTCCTCCCTGACATGAGAAAGGACCCCAGCATGCTGGTACTTAAGTACCGACATACTTGTGTGCAGAAAGAATTTGTTTTTAGATTTTTCTCTTCTGCTGCTTGCCATTTCTATACAATCCTGCACAACCCCATATTCTTTTAATTATTAAACCTTAAAAATAGGTTTTAAGGTCTGGAGGGGGCAAGGCTGGGACAAGGCTCTTCCATTTTTCCAAACAGGAGTTTCTAGTTTAGCACCTTCCCAGATGTACTTTGTATGGTTTTGCCCAAACATTTTGTTGGTATTTTGATTGGCATAGTGCTAAATGTGTTCATTAATCGACATCTTTACAATATTAACTCTTCCCACTTCTCCGCCAGCTGGAAGTATTTTGTCCTCTCTCTGAACTCCCCTAGCACTTTATACCTTAAAAACCATCATTTTCTAACACTACCCACCCAATTTTTCAAACTTGAAACCTGAGCATTGTCGCCATCCCTCCCCTCTCCAACCATCACCCCGTCCAATCAATCATCGAGTCCCGTCGGTGCTACTTCCTAAATTCCATTCACTTCTGCCTGTCCCCACCACCAGCACTGTAGTCCAAGCTGCTGTCATTGCTGTTCTGGGCCACCACACTGGCCGCCACCTGACCCTCTGCACACACACTGCCTTCTAAGCCATTCTCTGCATCACAGCCAGAAAGACCCATGTGTGTGCGTGCGTGTGTGCGCGTGTTCTCACATGTATGACGTATGAGTGCATGTATGTATCTATGGAGGGCGGTAGTCTACATTGAGCGTCTTCTTCAATCGCTTCCTCTTTGAGACAAAGCCTCTTGATAAACATGGAGCTTACCAGTCAGGTTGGTCTGGCTGGTCAATGAGCCCCGGATGTCTTCTTGTCTGATTTCCCATACCATCATGCCTGGATTTGTAAAATATATATTCTATGCTCCTGTGTCAGGTCCCCATGATTGTATGGAAAGCACTGTGCTGACTGAACCATCCCCCAGCCCCCAATATTGCCTTTGAAGAGGCAAATCTGACCATGACAGTATCCTCCTCGGTACTTGACGAGCTGAAGGAATATTCCTGTGTGACCTAGTCTCTAAGCCCTCAGCTTGTGCCAAAACTGCCTTACCCTCAGGCCTTCTGTCTCATTCATGAGGTCAATCAAATAGAAAACTTGTCCTTCCCACCCCAGAGCCCCTCATGCCCTAGGCCCTCTGTTCGGCTTATTCTAAGTCCTCAATACTTAAGTTTGAGAACACTCAGTTCATCTCAGCACTTGCAAGGCTAAGGCCTGAAGACCTTAAGTTCAAAACGGCTTTGGGCTACATAGCTAAACCCTGCTTCAAAAATAAACAAACACTACAAAAAAAAAAATTAAAATTCAATTGCTACAACATCTCATACAAGTATTTAGTACTCCTCACACTTGCCATTCCTTGTTCAAACCGGAGGCCACAGCAACACCAATGAATAAACAATATTGGTAACACATTCTGAGCATGTATCTAGCGTACGGTTCACTGTCTACCCACTCCACCCCAAGTGCTTACAAAGCCTTGGCTTTCCAGCTTGCGGGAGCAGGTGGTTGAATTTCCATGGTGTCATGCGCTAGCTTGAAATCACGGTAGGGAGAGTTCCTGCACCATGAAAATCAGGAAACACTGCAGCCCCGCCTTTGTTTTACATCACCCTGAGAGTCGGTTGATGGACCTTTACCGCCCTACCCCTGTCTCTGTGCACTGTTACTGTGTCCCCTCCTCAGCCCTGTGGCATACATATCCACCTCTACGAGGTGGAGCCAAGAAGTCTTTAGCAGGCCAGTCAAGCTGTGGGTGGAGGCAGAGTGACTTATATCTTAATGCCTTGGAAGGTGAGCGCCTGAAGCTCGGATGTGTCCCAAGGGTCAGTGTTGAGCATGGTGTGCATGCTCAACATACATGAGGTTAAGCATCATACACGCGCAGTGCACACAGGCATGGCAATGCCAACAATGGTTCGATTCACTAATGTAACACAGGCACAGTCACATCTTACGAAGCCAGAGAGAGAGATCTGTGCTGACCTTGACACTCAGGCATACCACACTGCAGCGATGGCATCGTGGATCCCTCTTCTGCTAGATGCTATGTTTGTTTTCTGGAAATATGGATCCTCAGCTGGAAAACTACTGCTTTCAAATGTCCCTGTATTGTTCCCTCCTCTAAGAAGCCTTTCTAGATTTCTCCTGAGTTAGTCCCTCCCTGATAGATATTCCAAAAACCCCTTTGTCTTTTACCTATCTTATGAGATTTAACCTAGTTATTGGGATCCAGAGCATCTCTCTTCTCTTCTAGAACAGTAGGATGCTGAGGTATCCTGATGTTACAGGTTTTGTATCCTGAACATGATTTTGAACACAAATTTAGTGACTATACAGTGTCAGGGGTTAAGAGATTTGACATTATTTATCTGAGAGCCAAGGTAGGTTCTGGCAATTCAATGCAACTAGGAGTAAGAGCCTCAGCTTTCAGAGGAAGTGTGTGTGTGTGTGTGTGTGTGTGTGTGTGTGTGTGTGTGTGTGCACGCGAGCGCATCTGGCTTTAAGTGTCCACAGTCCTGTGAGAACCGAGACCATTCCCAACTTCAGAGACAGTTGAAGGCTGGCTGCAAAGTATTTGTTAGAATATTCACTTGCATTTTCCAAGGCTAGAGCCATGATCTATTCCCAGGGGTACTTGCACTAAACACAAGAGATGTCAAGTATATGTTAAGCATCCTAGAGTAAGGGCCTTCTCGAGCAAACATCAGGGTCACACCAGTCTCCCTTTTCCTTCTCCCCTAATTGCTCCTTCTCAGCTCCTCCTTACTGTTCGAAGCCCTTCTTTATGGAATTCCCACGGGGCCTTCTCAAGCTTCCTTCTGTGGTAGAGCTGCCCTCCCCTCCAGGACAACATCCATCCTTGCAGTTCTTACTCTTGTCTGGGTACTCCCTGGCTCAGTATCTTCCACATCCTCCTCATCCTGCCTACCTTCCTCATTTCCCACTGCTCCTCACCCCAGGGACTTCATTCTAATACTCTGGCATTCTTGTTCCTGCCCAGTGGCACTGGGCTCCTTTTCATTTCTGGCTCATCATCTTGCGGTGTTCTTTGCCAGGCACATCCCATCACTCCAACAGAGTCATGGACTTCCCAGTACAGTTCCGAGAACCACCAACAACCCACCAGCTCTGTGGGGCTATAGGGTGGTAGGATGGTCATATGTCCACAGAGGATTTGTTCTCCTGCCCTTATTTTCACCGGACTAAAATCACCACATTCGTTGCCTTTGCATTGGACCCCAGAATGTTCACTTCACTAAAGGGACTTAACTTCCCTCCCTTCGATATCTCAATAAGCTAGAGTTACATCATTCCACAAAGGCATAGATGAGTGGGAGAACTGTAACTCTCTGGGAGGTACACCAAACAGCTTCTCTTTCCCATTACTTGCTGTCCACACCGAGACCAGGTGGGCTCCTAAATCCTATAATCCCAGCCCACACTGAGCTCTCTTTCGGAAACCCACACTTCTTCCAATAGACACTTTGCATTTTGGATTTAGGAAGTCTCCACCTGCACTTGGCATCAATCAACTGCTTCCTCCAAGAGGTCCGAAACCTCCAGACAGGGAAGGAACCGTGTCTAACATGTCGCCTGTCCTTCTCACCAAGAGAGAGCAGTCGTTTGGACAATTCGAAAAGGATGTTCGGCGGAAATGGAGTGGTTGGGTGGGTTTTACTTTTGTGAAGTTTTAAGATACTTTGTACCGCTCTACCGGGCAGCATTCTTGAACTGCAGTCAAGAAAACTCACAGCCAACAACTTTGATTACATTTACCCAGTTGCTCATATGAAAGGCTGCCCTAGAGTGGTTGTAAAAGGGACGAGTTTCAGGGGGGCGGGGGGCTGCCATGGCCATCATTCAGACCATGCAGAAATTTCTTAGGTAAAGTTCAAATTCAGAATTGAGCCTTCACTTCCCATTTGATGCCCATTCTTCCTGTGGTACCAGAAAGCCCTAGAGTAACTGGAGTTGGTTACAAAGCAGAGATACTGCTAACCAGAGCAAAGATGACCTGGGAACCAGATCCCTTGGAAATCATTTTCTTTCTTACCTGTGTAAATGAACCTGCCTGGGGCTCCTTTGCAGAACTGTTTGGATTTATAAGACAATGTCACCTCCACAACTCCGGGGATATGCCGGGGAGGGGTCTGTACTCTGATGGCGTGAGGTGTTATAAGCTGAGAAGAGGCAAGGAAAGACAGTCACTAGGCAAGCCACCAAAGAGGTCAGTGCTTAATGCCTCACATATTAGTTTGACAACCGCCAAGCCCGACTCAGCACCCATCCTTCTCTTCTGGTAATGTGCTTAGTCGGTTTCACTGATTATAAGTCAAACATATCCAATTAAGAAAATTGGGAATCTACAGAACTATGCAAAGAAGTCTGAAATTATATAATGCAGAGACAACCAATATTAAGACCTGGTGTGTTGCCCAGACATTTCAATGGCTGTGTGTCACAGAATTAGATTATGCACATCCGCTGTTCTTCTGGCTTTTTCTCCATGCAGCATCACAGCATAAACATGTTCTTCTCTGGTATCATTAGAATTTTTCCAAAACACAATTTTCAATGGTGGGAAGATACCCTAACAATCCAGTATTTAGACTCTAATTTTTTTCACAGTATTACATAGTACTACAATGGAGATTTATCATTTAAGGAATTCACTCCCCAATTGTTATCATTTTACCTATCTTGGTACCCTGTGTGTCTTATTCACAGTAGGTACACAGGACTGGGTATCATAGGGTCCAAAAATTGCTAGTTCCCCCAGCCCAGAAGAACCACGGAGCCAAAGGAGATCATGGAAGCAAATGGCTTTGACCTACCTCACTCCATACAAGCATGGTACCAAACACAACTTGGAGACCATCAAAAAAGTTGTCACCAATGATGATGACCATGGCTCCTCCTGTGGTCCAGCCTTCACTTGGGCTGATGGCTTTGATGCAGGGTGTAGCTGGGAAGACAAGAAAGAACAACTCAGCTCTGTGTCCTCAGTGGGTGACGTTTGGGGTTTGGGAAAGGTGCTGTCCTGGAAAGCTGTTGGTCATTCCAAGAAGTTCATGTTGAGCTGTGTTGATTTGCCGTCTTTCCCTAATTGGCTGTTGGTTTTTACCAGGTCATTAAAGCCTAACGAGTTGGCCATTATGTATGAAAGACTGAAACACTTAGCTAATTGTGCAAAGGGTGTTTTTAAAACTATGTTGTTTTTGCCCATATTTATATAAGTTGATCACTCTAGAAAAGTGTAAATCCCTTTTCTCTCCCCACCTCCTCTGCCCCACAATATTAAGATTTACAAGGCTTGTTAACATTGCTGAGGAGAGAAAGAGGAAACAGGATCTATCGTAGCTAGAGTGTTTGCTCAACCCCACCTAGAGACAACCTCTAATGGCTCTCCCAACACTGTAGAACAGAGTTTCCTCCCTTCTTGCCTATGTTCAAGGCCTCTGGACTTTGCATCCCAACAGGAACCCAATACTGTGTTCAGGCCATAACTGAAGTCAATCCATCACTCCATTTCCAAAGTTGACAGGGTCAAAGGTGGAGGAGAACTTTGGCAGGACTCCAAAAACATGAGCCCCCTTTGAACGGCCAGTCAATCACATCCAATCAGTCAAAAGAAACTTGAGGGGCACAGAGCTCTGAACTCTGGGTTTTTCTTCTTCTTTTCAGTGCCCACTGTGGGAGAATTAACACCGCTCCAAATTCTTTACTGATTCAATCATTTTTTTTCAGTTCATTAATTCCTATTTTAAATGATACAAGATACATTCTTAGGGGCTGAGTTGGGAAGAGGTGGGCAGCATATAGCGAAAACATCAACAGTAAACTCATAGAGCTGGATTTGATTCTTGTCTTTATCACGAAGTCTCCCAAAATCAGCCAGTTTGAGGTGAGGAACAAGGGGAAGCGAGTGAAATGGAATTCACTTAGGTTTGTCAGTTGGTTCATTGATATACTTTAATTTTTTTGGACAACTTGAAATTTAACAGTTACCAGTATTTCTAATTAGTTTAATGCACTTGGAAAACTACCCAGAGCAGCCCGTGATTTCTTCTTGTCCAAGCAAACAAAAATCAATTAATGTCAGTTTCACTCCGCACATTGTTTTGTTTTGCCCACAATCTGTTTAAGGGCACAGCTGACACTTATTCATACACGTCTGGCACTGTACTGTTCCTGTTTAACTAAGATGTCACAGGCCTGCGATTGCCTGAAATACCAGCCCTGCTAAAAGAAAAACACAGACTTGCAGTGGAAGAGACTGAGAGGGGCAGGAATCTGAGTGCTGGCTGGGAGTCGAGTCGGGTGGAGCGCAGTCAGCTGACGGGAGAAGACCGCAGTCAGCATGTACAATAGCAGTTAAAGTGCACACGGGGCTGGGATGTGGCTCGGGAGATAGAGTGCTCCCTCAGCATTCAAGAGGTGTCAAGTCTGATTCCCCAGGACCCAAATACTGAGTGTGAGTGTTAGACTAGTCTGGCTAATGAGTTTTGTCTATAACCAAGCAAATAATGCAAACAGGGTGTGTCTGCTTTGGCTCCCGGTCCTACCTTCTGATGGGTCAAGCCTTCTCGCTCTCCTTCCGTGCTTTGAGTTGTTATGAACAAACATGTTGTCGGAAACAGCCAGCACATGTCCGTCCACATTGACTGTTGTTGACAACACCACCTGCCATCAAAGCAGAGAGGGGAGAGCACGGTCAGTTCCACAGCACGATGTCAGTGTACCGGGACTCCTCACGGAGTACTTCTGCAAGGTGAGCGGGAGACAGGACAAGCTTCTGGAGGAGAACAAGAGGCAGCCTTTGGCTCATGGGTTAGCGGGACTTTGAGTTCGAACCGTGTGCATTTGACATCTGCCTGCTGGCTCCAGAAACCTCATCACCAGCAGGACTCTCCTCCAGCTGCTGTCACAGCTGCAGATGTGCAATGCAGGAGCCTCAGAGAGTACATTGCAGGAACTAAGTTAGAACCACCATTGGGAAGCTCACTTCTCCAAGCTTGGAAACGGGGATCCTGCACCGGGGATGTGCAGGACCAATGACCACTGGCTGATCAGTTGCCTCCAGTGTCTGTCTCCATGAGTGAACAGTGATAATGATTCTGTGAGGAGGTAAGGCTCCCCAAATGGGAGATACAGGATGCTTAGTACAGGAAGAAAGGGCAGGGATGGGTGTGGAGTGATGAAGAGCAAGAACTTGGAGTGAAAACTGAATCTGACTGCTACGCCGCTGCTTCCCTACGTAAACTCGTGGACAAACCACTGAACCTTTTAAAACCTCAGTTTGTCTTATCTAGGAAACATAAATAATGCTATCTGTCTCGCAGGCCCGAATGAGATAAAATAAGATGGTGAGAGTAAAGCGGTTGGCACAATGTGAAATACGGGCCAAATTAGGATGGTTTGTATCTCCCCTCCCCCTTTGCCTAACTCCTGCCTTCTTTTGTCCAGTTAAAAAGACAGATGACATTATCCAGTGACACTCTACCACAGTCTAAACTCTGGAGAAGGTTCCAGAAAGGGAGATATTAGCACTAGTAATCACATCCCTGCTCTCGGAGGTCTTATGTCCAGACTGCAGAATAGTAACATACATACATATATGTATGCGTATGTGTACAGTACATATACATACATACATACATGTATGTATGTGTGTATATATACATGTATATACATATATATGTATATATGTGTGTGTGTATGTATACAAACGAGGCACAAATGGCATGGAATTTAATTCTATTCTATTCTATCATATATGTTCCTGGTCAGATCATAAAAGAAGTTCAAAGGCAGAGCTGAGCAAAGAAAGGCAGAAAAGAGCATGCCTGGCCACACCTACGACCCTTGGACTTGACCCAGGAAGAAGAGTATCCCAGATGGAATGCTGCTTCTCAACTCATGCAGCTATGCAGAACCTGTTCTCTGTGGCTCTTTGGAGAAAGAAACTTATTATATACATGCTCATGAATATTTATAGACCTTTCCAAGGAGGACATTGAATAATCTTAATGAGTCGTGCTTCAAAATGACTCTTTCTGCCTATGGCCCCAATGTAATCTCTGGACAGCCTACCTGTAATTGTTCTGCCACGCCTTTCTAACTTATTAAATGAAAGAGGAGGGTGGGAAAACTTGACCTTGCTTATAGTTCAGTATGAAAGAATTCAATATCACTTAAAAGCACCTTTTTTTATAATGGATAATTTAAAGCAAATAGAATGTCAGAACAGCATAACAAAATTTTCGAACCCATCATTCAACTTCAAAACCCACTCAGATGTTGCTGCTGTCACCTCATTGGTCCCATGATCATCTCCCATCTCCTAGCGTGTGAAAAAACTCTGACAACCACAAGTTTGAGAGTGTTAGGGTAAATTTTTCACTGCACAAGCCATTCTCCTCTCATGAGGTGGAATATTATATCTCCTCAGAAAATTATTTCATATCCTTCTCAGTCAGGCTTAATTGCAAGGACTATTCTTCTCTCCCTTTGTTTTATTTTGCCCCAAAGAGAATTTCAGAGGGGTGTGTGTGCGCGTGTGTGCACGTGTGTGCGTGCACTACTTACAAGTGTGTGTGTGTGTGTGTGTGTGTGTGTGTGTGTGTTTTTGGTATGTGAATGCATTTACATTTTGGGTAAATTGGGTGGTATTTCTCAAGTCATCACCACCTTGTCTTTTCTCAGTCTTTCACTGGTCTGGAGCTTGCCAATTAGGCTAGCCTGCTTGACAGTAGCCCTCGGGATCTGCCCTGTTAACCACCTGCCCAATGCTGGGACTGTATAAGCACATGCTATTACATGTAGCTTTTCAAAGCAGAGATCTGAACTCAGGTCCTTGTACCTACATGGCAGGCATTTTACTGACTTAGTTATCAGCCAACCAGCTGGCATTAAAAAAAATACATTTTATAAGATTTATAATTTAATAGGTTTAAAAGAATCCCCAGGAACCATGGCTCCACACATCACTGCATGTAGCCTCACTCTGTGGGCTTGATGTAGCCTATATGAAAAATTTACATGGATGTAAATGAGTTTCAATCATTCAACTCAACAGATAATCACTGAGCTCCAACTACACAGCGGGAGTCATGACAGGCCCTGGGGACTCAGAGAACAAACTTAAAGGAAGCTCAGTTGTCATTCAGAAAATTATCGCCCATATAATTGCTCACAATTCAGGGATGTAGCCTGTCTAGCCTTAGGTCTGTTTTCAATTGTGTCTGTGTTAACATGCGAATGTCTGAGAAAAGTTCTTCTAGATAGCTCCTATCCACTGGTGGCGACCACGAAACAGACATCCATCACTCTTGGCAAGTGCACCAAGCCTGAGTGCTTATCAGAGTGATTTCAGTGAGAGCAATACCATGTCCCAGTCCAAGGGAAAAACAGACCTCATTGTCACAGGGTGAGTGACGGTACTGGCTAAAGAACACCACCTATGTACATCCTACCTCTGAACAAAGTAGAACGCATGGGGGGTGGGGGGGGCCTGCATCAGGCTGCCTGTGCAAAAAAGATCTTCAGACACAACGGAAATGAGAGAGAGAGAGAGAGAGAGCTTCAGGCAGTACACCTTACCAAGCTAGCCTGGGAACACCAAGGGGAACCCCCGCCCCATTCTAGGATGATGCCTCTGTGGGGAGCAGCCCCTCGGAAACTCTTTGACTCATCACCCAAGCCTGTTACCCTGTCTGCCAACAGTTCGTGTGCATCCACAAAAGGCGGCACTTTCTCCAGCCAGCAGATTTCATCATGGTCCATTATGGGTGGGGTGAGACTCAGTTCCAGACCGAACACATCCCAAATGATACACCCTGCTGGTTCACATGCACTTCATTGTTTTCTATAAACAATGGAAAGAAATTTTAATCTTTTGCTGGCTGGTGCTGGCCTGGCGTGACAGCAAGGGAATTAACCTGAATTATTTCAGTGTCTGCAAAATTTATTACAAGATTTTAAATTATGTCCATGCGTGTGTGAGTGTGTGTGTGTATGTGTGTGTGTGTGTGTGTGTGTGTGTGGCAAGTTCTTTTTTTCATATTCCAAATATCGTAGGCTGTGAGGTACCTAAGAAAGCTTGCCAACTCAGCTGAGTTTGCAGAAGTTAATGGGTTTGATTCACAAATTCCACCACATGAAATCAGACATGAGTTGTTCGTATTTGTGCTTGAATACTGGATTTTTACATGCATTCTCTCTACTTCTAGAAGAGTAAGCTACATTATGGATGGGAAGATCCTTTGGGTCAGGCAAGACTTCAGCTTTAACTTCCGTCTCTGCTTTCTGATGGATGATGACAACGCCGATATTATTCTATTCCAAGGAGCAAGGATTTCTACATGTTTTAAGACTAAAGGAAGTAGGACGTGCATTCCAACAGCATCTCACTCCCAGGCCTTCCCCTTCCACACGCCAACTTCTTTCCCCTAGTGAGTATTTCCTGGGTCATGAAGGCTGACCCTTTCCATCTGGAATCAATCAGTCAACCCCTGACAACTTCCTGAAACACCTCACTCCATTTCCTGTTCTCTCCCCCTCCTCGCTTTCCCCCTGGTTTGCTTCACTCTTCAAAACTGCAGGCCACAGCAGCTTAATGTTAGAGGGTCAGACACAGCTAGACTCCAAAACACTACACAAGGACACCTTTGACCTTCAAAAATCTTTACATCTTAGCTAAACAAATCAAGGTCAACATTTCTTACCATTACCTTGTTAACTATTTGTGTGCATCTTTTCCACTGACTCTGCTGGTCACACAACCATCAAAAAACCACTTGTTATTCTAAAATCATAAACCCATCTGCTTTGAAAACAGCACTTTCAGTCTGGGTAAAACATGCCATTTAGAGGTCCCTCAAACCCAAAAGCACCAGTGTTACAACAACCATATGGACCAAAATTCCATACAATAGGCTTCCTCTGCCCCATCCGTGTCTCTTGATACCTAAACGTGACATCTCATCTTTTCTGAGGCTATTGCTCTCCTGGCACCGCCATTCTGCTGGCACGGCCCGAAAGAATGCCAATTAGGAATACAGATGTCCATAATTTGTGAGGGATGGACCTCGGTGTTTGCTGCTCATCGTGGTGACAAGTCCCATTTATTCCTCACTGTTGATGTGTCTGTATCGCCATTCCGCACAAGTCCTTGTCAACGGTAGCTCTCCTCAGCCCAGGCACTTCAACTCAACACACAGGGAGCAAACAATTCAGTCATCTCAAGATACCCACAAGCCAGAAAGGGAAGGTGAGGTCAATTGAAATCTCTCGCAGTTTAAGGGAAAATGGTCTTCTCTTTTTGCTGGTCCTTATTTTTTCTTGACTGCCATCTCTAATTCTGAGTTAGTCAGCTCGGTAAACATAGACATACACGTGATTGTTGGATCTCATAAAAAAAAGATTCATTTATTTTCATGTTTCTGTATTCCGTGCATGTATGTGTACACACTATGTGTGTGGTTGTTGCCCATAGAGGCCAGAAGAGGGTGTCCTATCCTGTCGCTTGACACCAGAGTTGCAGGTAGCCGGTTGTGAGCTACCACGTGGGTGCTGGATACTGAATGCAAGTTCCCTGCAAGTGAAGCCAAGGTTCTTAACTGCTGAGCATCTTTCTAGGGTCCCACTGAGTAGCCCTGGATGGCCTGAAACTCGCAACGTTG